GTGGACAGCCACCCGGGCGGCGGCCTGCGGGGCCGGGGAAGGCCCCGCCCCCTGGCCCCGGGGCTGCACCTGGGAAGCGCAGTCAGGGGGTCACTGCCGGTCGCGGGTCTGGGGTGCTGTCCGCCTTCCCAAAGGCACAGCGGAGGGGTCCCCCATGCCCACCCGTGCACGACCTACCCGCGAGGGTGCTGAGGGGTATTCCAACGATGCCCCGAGGAGCCTTTCCCCTCTCCCAGGACCTCCAGGGGGTGGAGACGGGAGCAGGGGGGCGGAGTTCTGCCTGGGGACATTCTTGGCTCCCCAGGGGGCATCTGTGGGGTAGGAGGATGAGCCCTGGGGTTAGAAGTCCTGGGCCTGAGGGTTGGTGGGCCCACACCTAAGGGCCCGAGCCCGCTCAGATCACACACCGTGAGGGAGATCGTGGCCAGGGCTGTTCTGAGGCCTGTGTCCAAGATCCTGCGCAGGCCAGAGGGAGGGTAGCTGGGGGATGGCTCTGGGTGTGAGTGCACACGCCTGGGGCAGGGGGGCGCTGGGCTCTGCCCCTGATGGGACATCCCCCAGGTCTTTCTCTCTCAGAATGCGGTTGTTGTCCCCACGCTCCAGAATCATCTGTGGGAGGGAAGGGGTGCTCAGGGGGGCGAGGCTTGGGCGTGAGAGTATTGGGAGCAACTCTTAGGCAAGGGGACACCTGGAGGGGGCAGTGGATGGGAAATGATGCGGGTCGCAGTCTGCAGCACCTGATAGAGGCGGCTCCGGTACTCAGCGGCTGTGAGCTGGACTCCTTCGTGCACTGGGAGCTGCACATCCGCCTGTAGTGTCCACTCATGGGCCGGGCAGTGGAACCTGCAGGAGCCCATGAGGCAGGTGCAGGAGAAGTGAGGCAGGCTGCGGTGAAGCCAGCCTTTCCCACGGAGCTCAGCGTCTCCCACCCCTACCTCCGCACGTAGGGGTGCTGCAGTGCCTGGGCTGCGCTAAGCCGCTTGTCCGGGGCAAACACCAAGAGTCGGCTGAGGAGGTCCAGGGCCTCTGGAGGCGTGTCCACCGGCAGGAGGGTGTCCAGCGTCTGCCGTGGCCTGCTGGTACCAGTGAATTCTCTCCTTTCCAGGTCTGGGCTCCTCCCCACATCCACATCTGTGACCCAAGCTCAACCTTTTGCCTTGCCCCACTTAACTGTCTCTGGATCCCCTCAACTCATTCACCACCCTCTGGAAGGGTCACCAGATCTCTGCCTTGCTTTCCGGTCCCCTCCTGTCCACTGTCCTCCACCCACCCACTCAAAGCAGCTCCTGTGGGTTCCACCCTACCCTGAGCTGGGCCCACACTGGGGACCTCTTTTTAGTATGACCAACGATTGCTGGTTTGGGGTCTAGACTGGTGAGCAAGGATACAGGAAGAGTGCTGGAGTCGGGCTCCCAAGCACCTGCAACTCACCAGGTCCCCAGGTGGTGCAGAATTGAGGCACTGTAGCCTGAGCCAAGAGCCAGGAGGTCTGCAGGGTGGGTGGTAGAAGGTGGTGTGATCAGGGGGGGGTGGTCTGATGGAGCAGCTCAGGGAAGTCTGGGTCCAGCCATCCCTCTGGCCCCTGGAGTGACCTCCTCTCTCCAGGTCTGGGGCTGCCTGGCAGAGCTCAGACCTTGAATATCTGGACATGTGCATGCGCACCTGTGCCTGCCCTTGCACAACTTTACACCTTCACCATATGGCCATGCTCACACACCTCCATCCTTGCCCTTTCCACCCAAGAAAGTGGAGACTTGGGGAGAGAATGGGGTTCCCATGACCTGGTCCTTGCCTCTCTTGCCCCACCCCCCTCAGAGGAAGAAGGACACCCCGTATGCTCCACTATGCCCCCACTGCTGCTTTCTCCCACCTCTTCCCCCAACCTCCCCTCCCCAGCTCCCAGAACAGTGTGGGTTCTGCCCCTACCACCACTCAGAGGACTAGCACTCTTGTCCTGACCTGGCTAGAACCTTCATGGGCACTGCTGGACCCTCGAGGACACATGAGGCCAGGCCCTACCTGCCTTGCAGACTGTCCAGGTGCTTCCTGAAACCCCCAGTAGCTCCTCCCTGTTGCCCAGCGTTTTCCAGTCTTCCTAAGGCTTCTGGACCCAGCCTGTCATCCTCCCCATTAGTCCTGGCCTGTTGGGCACTGTCTCCCCACAGCCTTGTGCTCTTGCCCAGTGGATCCCCGCACACACACACCCTCCTCAGATGGTGGTGGGATGGTCTGGAGGATCAGCTCCATCTGGTGGAATGTGGAAGTGCCAGGGAACAGGGGCCTTCCCCGCAGCATCTCTCCCAGGATGCAGCCGAGGCTCCACATGTCCACCCCGGGGGTGTACCTGGGGCAGAGGCAGGCTTGGAAAAGGGAAAATCAAGGCGGCTGGGAAGGGGTGGGTGAGGACACGTGTGGGGGCATAGGAAGGCCTAGGGGCCCTAGCTGGGCAAGAGGACATGGGGGGCCTGAAAGGGAAGGTGGCAACAGGATAGGAGGGTGTCACTGTTACCAGCTCGAGGACAGCAGCACCTCTGGAGCACGGTACCAGCGTGTGGCCACGTACTCTGTCAGGGCCTGGCCCTCAGGCCCCTCAGGGAAGCCACTGAGGGAGCGGGCGAGGCCAAAGTCACAGAGCTTCACCAGGCAGCTGGCATCCAGGAGAACGTTAGATGGCTGGGGAAGAGGAGGTGGGCTCAGGGCTGATGGGCCAGGACAGTGGGTGCACACGGAGCTGGGGGGCAGTGGAAAGAGGTTGGGCAGCACCTTCTGGTCCCGGTGGATGACGCGTCCTGAATGGATGAACATGGTGGCCCGCAGCAGCTGGTAGAAGATGTAGCGTTTGTGGATGTCCTTCAGCAGTGTGCCCTTGCAGATGACGGCATTCAGATCCGTGTCTAAGGGGCATGCAATTTAGTAAGGGGGTCTGGGTTAACCCCGGGGTCCTGGAGAGAGCAGGTAGGCCTGTCCTACTTTGAACCCTCACAGGTGCACCTCTGTCCGCCCACTGCCTGAAGTCCCCAGGTCCCACTGGCCATCCTCAGGGCCATGTCCTGGGCGTGTACACTTCCCAGTGGTCCCACAGGGCTCTTGGACCTGCTCACTGTCTTTGTTGGTACAGCAAGAAGTTTGTGGAATTATTTTTAGTACTTTATTTTGTGCCTTTGTTTTATAAAACGAGTAGAGAAAGGAAAGGGCTGCTGTGAAGAGTGAACAAAGCAGGAGCCTCGTGGGGATGGAGTCAAGGTAGTTACTGTCAGGGTCGGCCAAGGACTGTTTGTCCTTGGGCACAGGGACACTGCCCAAGGTGAGGGTGCTGGCCACTGCAGGGACCTGAGCAGCAGAGAGACATACAGAGGGAGCCAGGTCACTGGGGGGGGGAGGGGGGTTGTCCAAAGCTAGGACAGAGGTGAAGCTGGGGGCTGATGAGGCCTTGCTCACCCATAGACTCAAACACCAGGTATATGTCCCTGTCATTCTCCGCCTGGATCACATCCAGTAGCCTAATGATGTTTGGATGGTCCCCAAATTCCTGAGGAGAGAGCCAGGATCTGTGTTCTGGGGTGGAGGGGCCAGGTTTCCCCCAGTTTGGGAAGAATGCACCTGGGGAAGTGGGCAGATGCCTTGGCCACTTACTTGGAGCAGCATGATTTCCCGGAACGTTCTCTGGAATGAGACAGAAACACAAGTGTGTGCAAAGCCAGAAGGACCCAGAGGGGCTGGTGTTCTTCACCCACACACCCACTGAACCATGGGTACTGTTTCTTAGAGCAGTGCCAGAAACACACTGTGATTGGGCTTCCAGGTACCAAAGCATCAGGGGTGAGCCCACAGCCCTGCCCTCACCCCTTCCCACACTTCCTCCCTTGATTACCTGGGCATCTGTCTTATTCCTAAAGGCATCAAAGATTTTCTTGATGGCCACAACCTCGCCAGTCCTCCGATCCACGGCCTTCCACACAATTCCATAGGCCTGGAGAGGAGTGAGGTCAGCCTCCTGCCCCACCAGCCCCCTACCAGACTGCCCTGCAGACAAGGCTCCTCCTTCCTGCTCTGGCTGCAGGGAGGGATGGGAGTATGGTAAGGGCACTGCAGGCTGCCCAGGACCCCAGCACCTTTTGGAGCAGGGTGACAGCAAGAGGAGATGGAGGCCAGGGTGGGTTGGGGTCCAGGGCAGGACCCTTCTCCAAGCACCTTAACCCCTCACTCACATACTCTATCCAGCCTGTCAGCAAATCCTGCTGGTTCCTTCAGAATGCCTCAGAATCTGGCCATTTCTACCATCACTGCTGCCCCCACCTCAGCCTGAGCCTCCTGCATGTTTCACCTGGTTAGTGGAGACTGACATCTTGATTAATCTCCCTTGCTCCCCCTCATCCCCATCCTCAACAGGCAGGGTGAGCCTGCTCTCTGCATCACTAAAAACAGAAGCCAAGCCTGGCCAGCATGGCTCAGTGGTTGAGCAGCAACCTGTGATCCAGGAGATGGTGGTTTGGTTCCTGGTCAGGGCACATGCCTGGGTTTCGGCTCAGTCCCCAACAGGGGAGAGGGTGTGCAGGAAGCAGTCCATCAATGACTCTCATCATTGATGTTTCTCTCTCTCTCCCTCTCCCTTCCCCTCTCTGAAAAATCAATAAAGATATCTTTTTTAAAAAGTGGAAGCCAAAGTCCCCAAAGTCCCACCTCCGATCACTTATATCCAGTCTCAACAACTCTGCGGTTCGCCCCAAAGCCAAGCAGGTTCTGACCTCAGGGCCTTTGTACTTGCTGTGTGCACTGACTGAACCGCTTTTTCCCCCTCCCCATTAACACACGCAGTCACGCACCCTCACGTGCACTCAGGCACAATTCCACATGCTCATTCACAATCACGGATATGCACGGGCTTCTGGCTCCCATTCCGTGCCTACCGCGTTTACCCTCTCCGCCCCCCGCGACGGCAGCAGGTGCGCCTCGCCGCCCAGGGCGGAACGCGGCCTCAGCGAGACAGCCGCGGGCAGGAGGGGGGCGGCGCGCTGCGCCAGCACC